AGGGAGTTTGTTTTAGGTTTTTTCCCGTCTTCGAGGTTTTGGAAGGCGCCCATGAGGTGCTCTAACAACTTTTTAAAATTGCCTGTAAACTGGCATAATAAACATATATATGTACCCAAATCTTTGTGCGTATCAACCTCTTTTAATGCGGTACCATTGATAAAATAACTGTCTTTCGGCGGCACCTTTCGCCCTGGGCTTATGTGTAGAACAAGACACTTGGATAAATTAAAGGTAAAAAGGTCGTTATGAACCATCCTTCTTCTTAACCAGGAAATTAGGAGAGGCCCAAGGGGAAGGTGACGGACGAATTACGCGCTTGGCCAGCATATCCTTAATGGTCTCCTCTAACTGCTTCTAAAAAATGGACCGGTACCCCGCGAGGGGGTTGGTGAAATGGCCTGGCCGAGCCCGTGTCAATGGTGTGTTGCAGGATATTGGTTCTACCCAAGGGTTCAGCATCCCATGCAAAAGCAGATGAGTTGCGGCGGATAAGGTCACGCACAACAGCTACCTGCTCGCAAGAGTAATCGGAGGAATCAGGAACTAGGCGCTCCAGATTGGACGGCTGGGGAAGAGTACAAAATACTGAATCACACCCGGGCTGTTGCACGGAGACATTAGGGAAATAAAAAGGAACCGTGGTCGTAGTAGACGTGAGCTGCCAGGTAGAAAAGTCAATGCAAAACCCATGAGCGTAGAGGAAATCGGCCCCTAGAATGCCCTGCCACTGAATATCAGCCACCAACATAAAAATGATGGTGAAATTAAGGGGCACCAAGATGCAGAGGAACGTCAATTAAAGACGAGAAGGAAAGAGGCATGTCATTGGCAGCCACGATACGAGGAGGTCGGTGAGAGACCTCAGCTTTACGAAGCCACGAACGGGAGAAACCCTTGGGGTTAAGTAAAAAGCAAGCTGCTCTAGTGTCGACAAGAAAAGTCACCCGAATGTCAGCAACCAATACATCAATAATAGGAGCAGCAAAATCAGTATTGGATGA